GCCACCAAGCAAGCACGCACCATCTTGCGGGTAGCTTTGGCCTCGATAGCAGTCGATCAGAAAATGGAGACAGCCTACTAACTCTTTGTTCTGATCATCGTTTGTTTCTTTCGTGTATCAGTTTTCGACACCCGAAGAGGCAAACTGCTACCTGGCGTCCGTTTTCTCCAAAGCAGGAGTGGCCCCAGCTTGACCACATAGCAAGAAGGTACAGATGGTGCGAAAGCGTAACAGACTGTCGATCGTACTTGTCAATCTGTCTTGACTCCGATCACGCACTGGTTCGCGCCAAGATTTGAATGCGTTTCGGAGGATCACCAAGATGTTTGCACTACCGACTGAACGTCGAAAATCTGCAACATCCTGCGACGTTAGCTAAGTACCAGACTTCTCTATCAACACTGCTTGCTTCATCCTCTGACGGTGGTCTGAATACGCAATCGATGCGCATTAAGCACGCCTTAATTTCTGCCTGTACTGTCAGTTCTGGAGTTGCTTGTCACCCACCGAAAAAACTGGATCACCTCTGCCTCTTTGTTGTTGATAGACGGACGCCGCTTGATCCCGGTCGACACCAGCTCTAGAGAGGAACGCCGATCCCTGGTTCGAGCGTTATGTAGGAACCCTGCGACCTGGTGATGTGAACGCGCTAGTGAGATGGAACTTGCTAATCTCTGTCGTAATACCAGAACAATGTTCCACCTCATCCGAATCACTGAAGGCTTCCGATCTGGAGTTAGCGAAACAATCTGCGAAGAGGATGGCTCCCTAATCACTAATCTTCAACGACAGTTGGAGCGATGGGCTGAACATTTTCACTGCAGTTTTCCTGGCCGCCATCTCTGTCTGTTTCCCCTGGGGTGCGCACTCGTGATGAGTGGACTATCTCCACTGATCCTCCCTCTTACCGGGAAATTTGGTGTGAACTCTGATGCCTAAAGCGCTGTAAGGCACCCGGCCCTGATGATCTATCTGCTCTATTTCAAGATGGGGTTCTTTGCCTGTTCGAGAATTCACCGCTTTGTTCTAGGAAATTCCAGCATGGTAGGCGGTTCCATCACCCTAGAGTAAGTCGATAGTCATTTCCATCTTCAAAGTGCTTGCACACAAAGTACAAGTATATAAGTTTGGTTCCCGTCTTTTTGCAATATTTTGGTGTCCATCATTTATCTCACGCTGTCCCCAACGCGTGAATCACTACGACAAGATGAACAGGCTGGGTTTCGCTCTGGTCGTAGCTGCATCGACCAGATTCTCGAGATCCGCCATGTATGCCAAAAGCCAACTATTATTGTCCTTCTGAATGTCCGTGCTGCCTTCGACAGGGCTGCATTGTGGCATTGTCTATTGAGGGATGGCATTCTTAGGAAGTACATTTCCGTACTGCGTGCTCTATATGCTCTGACCTCGGGTAGAGTTAGGGCTTACGACAAGCTTTCGCCTTTCACTATGGCCAGCCACAGGACGCCTGCGTATACAGAGGGACCATGGGTGCCTTGCGCTGCATCGCCCACAGCTCCAACCACACACCTCATATCCAGTGTAAACCCGAAGGAGTAAGATCGGGAGGCATGTGGATGAGAGCCAGGTTTCATCAATGGAGCCCAGCACAAGCACGCTGTATTTGGGAATCAGTCGCACAAAAGGCGGTGGCTGGATCGTAATCTGCTCCACACTGAGGCATGGAACCACTGTTCGAGCCTAGCACGGCTACAAGGACAGTGCATCATGTCCCCTCCATCGACGGCCAACTGTCTCCTGGAGCCAGCATGGACGAGATAGTGGGTAATAGACAGGTAGGCACCTTGTCAACATGCACATCAAGCGCAGCTACACCGGGGATGTCAAACAACAGCTAAACACTAGTAATGACAATATCAAATAATAGTTATCGATTAAGGCATACGAATATACCGACTTAACCCTTGGCTAAATAAGCAAATGTAACAAATTGGTTATTAAGAAATCCGTGATAAGGTCAAGAAGACAGTGAAAGATATCTGCTATTGATGCCAACCTGAAATTAACGGATTTAACCGCCATCTGCTTAAGTGACCTGTGTAAGTAAAAATAATCTTATTCAGACAGACTTTTAACAAAAATGATTAACAAAGTAAGCATTAACAAAATATAGCAAACCAATCACCTGAAATAAAGGAACTCCGCACGCAAGCACGCGGCAAGTAAATCGAATGCAGTGTACCTACAAACGCTGCGCCGGTTCTGCTTACCTTCTCAGCCGGATCTTTCGTCTTTTCGATGTTGATCCTGAGTGGCCTTGCTTGTGGCTCACTAGACCTACTTGACTCGCACTCGCGACCGCATGTGCTGCAACACCATGCGCTTGATGTCGATGGAGTACAACCCATCGGTGAGTGTCGCTTCCGCGATGGCTGCTTCTTCTCTGCATGCACGAGGGATTTCTGCACCTCGGCAACTGCCTTCGTCATCAGATGGAACCATGCACGTCAATCTGCTCCTTTCATTCTCAACTGAACTCAATAGTAGAACGTGAGAGGCTCACTTTGATCATGCCCTGGCAACGAAACTTCGATTTCCTTACATGCCGCTTCCCAACACTCAGTTGACCATCTAACAGCTGACTCGGTATCCGCGTCGAATCCATACGGCTCACATGACCGAGCCACCTCAAACGTCAGCAAAAGTATGCAGTCCACTGAATGCATTCCACTCCTGCGCAACACTTCCATGTCTTCAACTCTGTCTCACCAACCGATACGCAGAATCCGCCGCAAACACTGTTGATGGTACCGATCGAGATATCGCAAATCCCGCCGGGACATCGTCCACGTTTAGCTAGCATCTGTTAGCGGCACATGCTTGGATGTCTTAGCACCTACCACTGAATGAAATACGATATGCACAGATCAAAACACAACTGTATATCGCCCGCGATTCCATAACATCTGTATGCCGGCGAGCGTTGTCCCAATTCCCTTGGTTAATTGCAATGTTCGTTTACGGTTGCCATTATGACCAGTAAATACTCGGTGATTTCACACTTGCTTGAGTATTTCCACTAGATCCATATGTCAGTGGTCTTCCCGCCGTTACTGTGACTCTTCGGACAAATTTCTGGGCTGCTATGCACTGCCTTGTACATTAGATTTAGGCATTATATTTAGCCACACTCGACCTAACCCTGATGCAGAGTTTTGTCTACCACCACCAATGTCAGTGTTTCTGAACACTCAGGACGCCATCGCTACCGCATCGATCCAACAAATTCCGTTTGCAATCGTCTTAGTTGAGTTGGAGGTGGGTAGCTCTTGTTTCTGCCAGTTTGGTCCATCCTATGCGTTACCTGGTTAACCCTGCCTTGTGATCAGATTTGGGGATCGTCCACTTTGTTGTTTAATTCTATCGTTCACCTGTATAGATATGAAGGTCCTTGCAGTAACCAAATCCACAAACAATCTGGTTATTGGCAGAAAGCGTATCTTCTGTTTCTACTAACCATCGCACATTAAATATCCTTGTCTGTTGTCATAGTTAGGTAGACAAGCGAAACAGCATACTTCCCGAGTCTTCCGACATCTTTATCTGTTCCTCTTGCATCCCACTAAATCCGCATTGTTAATTTTTCCTTTGCGATACTATCGGAATTTTGCCATCTTCACCCATGCTTCCGAAGTGCCCGGCATCTTTCTTTTATCGGAGATCGCGCAACAGGTTACGCAGCCCGATCTTGGTTGATTTCAATGCGTCTACCTCAAAGCGGCTGCGGTAAGAAACTGCATTCGCACGCGTGCGGGATACGCTAGATGGTGGTAACGTCTTCCATCTTTGTAGTTTTAGCTCAGAACTCACACCGCTGTACACCGATATGCACTAACCTTACCCCATTTTCATAGGCACCTTTCCCGGCTCAAAGAGCTGAGCACTTGTGCAAAGCCATATCTGTCGCAACGAGACTGGACGTAGGCGAAACACGTAGCTTGTTTACCCTTCCAACCCATAGAGTTACAGTGGGTGATGCGTTCAGATGGATCGCAAGATAATCCTACCTACTTGATCATGGATTACAGATCAGATGAGCCGAATCTCGTGAATTTCCAGGATGATGCTTAGAGCTGTGATGAAAACCGGTTCATTGCCATCAGGTTTTTAGACTGAATGCTTCATTTGAGGATGTTAATTGTTCTACAACTTGATTCCCCCGCAAGGTCCCGACCCACTCGCAACTACGACTTTCTCAATTTTTAATTTCATCCTGCATCAGTCTTCGTGATTTTATTGAGTGCCACTGTGCTTAATGTATACAATTGGGCGGATAAGTGGAGACAGGTTACTCCTGATACCTCTCTATCCTTTCCACTTGCATTCCCCGATTTCCATTGCCACCAGCCTTCCGTCCTTTGATATTGGCCTGATTGATAGCAGTATTTTATTTCGATCTATACATCAATGTGTGTTAGATTCAATCCCCTTAGTACGCGACACCAGCAAGCGCGCTACTACTACTACTACTACCAAGAATAATAGTAGTAATAATAATCAGGGGGATGAACAAGAATTTAAGTACTTACAAAGAATTGAAGTAGTCAAATCTAACGTCCGAAATGAAGGAACGAATACAAGCGCGTTACTATTTCCTCTGTGACTCCGCAACATCCGATGAGACGTCGGGAACGCGACAAGCGTCAACGCAACTCAGCCTTTCTGTGAGTTTACTTATGCTCTTTTCCATATCGTTGTTCACCTCGGGTTACTGACAGTGGCTTCCTAATACTGCTAATGTCTTACCGTCTGAATCCAAGACACCACAGTACGAATATTGTTCTGCCATGGAAATCCTGCTTCTTTGGTTGTATTCAACATTCTTACCCCAAGATAACAGTTGTTATGTTAGTCCCACCGCAGTGGTCAACCTATAGTCATACTTCCGACATTTACGGACCTCTAACCTCTTTCTATGTTCCTTTACAAGAATATCTTGTTATTTTCTCCTTATTTTATTCCATTTTTAACATCTGCAGCTCTCCTTGCCTTTGCGATATCCGGCCGGTCGATTTGTCCCAAATAGCCTATACTCAGAGGCTATTTTAATGTTGTTAATTTCGGAACATATCGTGAGTTCACTATCACCTCTTTATACTTTGTAAGTCCACAGATATTTTTGCCGATACCAGGAGTAACTCTATATTTAGACTTGGTATCTACTCCATACCTTCCCTTGTCTTCATCTCCTATATCCAGAAAGAGAATCGCCCCGCGTTGCTACCCTCTTTGGTGTTTTTCCTCGTCACTTGTAATGAACTACGAATACCTGTGCCTTTATAACTTATCACGGAACTCGTCGCTGATAATTTTTTATTCTGCTTCAGTTTTAGGTTACTAATAAAACAGGGCCACTCAACAGGTGGCATCTAACACAATGGACGCTCTACACTACTCTCATTACATGAAACTTCCGTTATCATTTTTTCCTATGATCATTATTTTTCAGTTTGAACGTGATGAAAGTCATTTCCAGCTATTTATGAAAAGCCACACTTCGCTGGCCCGCTTGAGTAAAATTTAATTTGTCAGCTTTTAAATTCCAGACAACTTTTCTTAGAGCTGGTTATCATCCAACCGAAATTCCAGTCGTATGAAATTATCCTACACACTGACATCCTTAAACACCTCTTTTTGTGTGAAAATAACCTATCGGTTTCCAGAAAATGGCTGTTCTTGGCGCATTACTCGCTGCACTCTCCTTAACCGATCTCCCATGGTTTCGGACGATTCTAATCACTTTGTTCCTTACCCCCGTTGTCTTGCGGTTCATCCTTTTAGGCTAGCCAGGAAATGATCCTCAATCGGCCAACCGAGACGTCTGATGCTCGTTTCATGCAGTCGCTGAGTAACGCCTCTTCAGTCTATAACCTGTTGACTATTATTCTTTCAAAAACCGGCAGGTTTGGGCTGTTGTCCAAGGCAAGTTACTTTCCCAGTATTTCTGTAGCAGTGTTTTGCAATCTTTCTATCAGTTCGGTTTTTCGAGGAGTTTTGTTCCAGAAAGTTCCTCCCAGTATTGCAGGTGGGCTTTGTATCTTGGCATGCACTCTTCACTGAGTCGCGTTGTATCTCGAAATATCGGCTGATTGTACCGACGTACTCCACTTACGTTCTCCTGAACCGAGCCATTATCGGAATCGTTGCTTATACAGACCATAGTTGACATTGTTGCTCTCATCCAACGGCAATATCTTTTTGTGGTGAATTTTGTCTAGGTGTTGTGGGTCAACGTGATTTTTCATTGAAATGAATAAGCTTACCGTACTTGTTTTTATTAAATGAATAAATGATATATTCCTCGGCGGTATGAGTCACAGTCCAACTATGTGGTTTGATCAATGTGTACAGCAGGATCGCATCACCATCATTATACCAGTTAGCTGCAGGTGGAAAAAACACTTCAGCTATTGTGCCGCAATACAAAGGACAAGACAGGATCGCACAAAGTAAGTAATCGTTCACGCTTTATACAATGGATCCAAAACGGATATTAAAGAAATTGGCAGGTTTAGGTATTAGGGAAATTGAAAAACCGGTAACAATAAGTGATACAGATTAAAACAAATGTTCAGTTAAATTAATACGGCCATCCGTGGAATCGTCCTTAGGGGACCTACTTCCATGCAGGGTATTCCCTCGATTGGTTTCGCCCGCATTTCCATGCCCTCTGGCCCCGCGTGCCGGTGTAACAATGTAGCATATAAGCCATCACCTGTTTAACATATGTTGTGCACTTTTTAGGGCTGCTTTTATGCATAAATTATGGGCGATAAAGCCTCAGCCCGGTCCGTCACGCGGATCATTAAGTTATAGCACTTTTTATACGCCAGTTAGTTGGTGGCAATTTGCCTTGCATGAGTGTAGAGTCTCCTTATACTCTGGAAGCTTCAATCCCCATTCACCAGTGATTCGGCGTTGCCTTTAAGCTCCTCTCTCCCACCCTGCTTTTTATATTATGCATTGTATGCGCCTTTGTTGTGTGACCGCGAATGACCGTACAGTGATGCTCATGATGCCTCCAGCAACATTATCGATTGTGTTTTTTAGACTTTGGAGAAGTCTTTAAAGTTTTCCTATCGCGAGTTCCACATCTGGTTCCAGTTCGCTTTATCCCTCATAAATTGTAGAAAGGTAAGTTTTCGCGAGCCCTCTATACACGTCTTCAATTTCTATATGCCCTGTCTAGTTCGCCTTATTATTCATGAGTAAAACTCCGGCAAAGAATGTGATACGGACTTGCTTTTGGCGTTGTGGTGTGTATGAGACCGAGCTTTACGTTACTGAACTAACAATCACCATGTCTAGGTTGTTGATGATTACGCCGTTTTCACACAGCGTAGACGTCTTGAGTCCAAGTCTTGGAAGTGTGCGCACTTTGCATTCTCTGTACTGGAACACAGTTTGCGCCCGGGTTCACAGCAACTTGCCGGACGGATTCCAGGCAACAAGTGGGATTCACCGGGGTATTTCCTATTCATTAACTTCTCCTGTAAAGTCTCCCTGAGTAGATATTCAGACTGTCCAAAGGAGAACTGTTTGATTCGGAATACCCGGACGATGTTGTTCTGTGTGACTATTGCGATGTGACACAGTCCTCTCTGTATAATGGTTTTATCTGTCAGCGTGTGCAGTGTACCTTCGATGTGCAAATTGCTTTTTCAGAATCACCAGTCACTGGCTTGTTCCTTGAGTCCTGCTGGTGAGAACTTGGAGATTTCTAATCCACTCATTTTTCTTGGCGGCAACTTTAGCGGCATTTGGTGAGCCTACTCAAGTCAGTTCGCATACTGCGAGAGTTAGAGCTGGTTCAACAGAACTAGACACCATTGGTGCAAGAAGGGAATTTCCTTTGATTAGCGGACTGTGTTTACAAATCACATATAGTCGTTTTTGTCTTTTGGAGTGAGAATCGGCCCCTTCGATCCGTGGCCTTCGATAGTCGTTAATTGTGGATTCTCCTTTGTCTCAGCTGGCATCACCATAGCCGCAATGATGAAGTGCGCAGATGACCACCAGATACAGGCTTGTAATTTAGTTTGTTACGTCTAGAACATCAGTCTGAGGCAAACAATTGTTTTCAATGATTCATCTACAGGCCGGTTACGTCCGTAAACGAGATTAACTAAACTGATTTCTGTCGCACTCGCATTTCCGCCTTCTCCTTATTAGTGGTGGCCTTTTGGTTTAGCACGCATTAGGTTCGTATTATGGCAGATTGATGCCATTCCCGGAGGAACCAGCTTCCAACCCTTTGTAAGGTCAATTGACCAAGCATTCGAATTATCAGAAGTTGCTTGTTAAATTGCGTCTGAGTGAAACTCTAATTAGGCGAACTCTGAATTAACCACAAACGAATCACTTCCGAAACAATAAATGATGGTGAGGAATCAAGCTGAGTAGACTGTTTTGGTGGTTTGCTCTTGTTAACAGGCATTCCTCCAACCGTGTCTTTGTCTTCTGATTTCCCTGTTGGATGGGAAGTTATGCGAAGAACCTGTTAGGAATTACCGAAATTGCACGCGATAGGCAGACCTAACAGTTCGATGGAATAACGATTGCTCTGCTGTCCGGGGTGTTGACCCACTTATTATCTGTCCCGGGACATTAGAAAATATGATGCGCGTTCGGCATCAGTGACATGCATGCTGTCATCTTGTCGCTATGTTGTGTATGGTGCTGAACTGTGTGTGAAGCAAAGTTAGCTCGGATGCCGAATCATGGAAATCGCTTGAAACAGGCCAAGCAGATCCTGTCTAGTTTTTTTATATATATCTACAACCAGAGGTTTGTAACCGTCTGGTTTTTCAAATGTGCGGGCGCTTTGGGTACAAGCGTCTGTGTAATCCACTTACGTATTGCGCCAACCCTCTACTTCTCACCTCTAATAAATACTGTCTGTACGATTGTGTATATGCCACTACGCCAATTATGTTTTTTTTCGTTAGCATTCACGTCGACGATTGCCGCGGCTTGCAACTTCTTCTTGATTGGGCGACTGTTAATCAATTGACTGTCAGTCAAATCGCTTGCAGCTGAGCTGCAGGCTGCCATTTTTGATGACGCTTTCTTATGTGCATTCCGTACCGGGTGTTCGTGTTTGTGGGTGTAGCCTATACGCGCAAAAAAGCTCTGAGTTGCAGATAGGTCGAGTTTTCTTACTCAGAAGCAAGATGCAAAGGTACTTCACAATATTGATGGCTATTTAGCAGCGAAACACTAACATTATATGCTGATGAATAGTATTTTATCATTCTATTCGTTGTGCCGCAAAATAACTAAATAAATCTTTTAATTCTAGACGGTGCGAGAGACTATTCCCACATAAGGAACGGTCAGAATGTCGTTATATTTTCTTCAGAAATCTCCTCCACATCTGGAATAGAAATATGTATAATGTTATGTTTACTAAAGTTTCGCATATGCACGTTGTTTAGTGAGAAGTGCAGAAAAATGTATTCGGGTCAGCTTTTTCGTTAACTGATTTCCCGTCGATCTGAACCAGCGCAGTCTAACCTGAAGGCGAAAATGGGACTTTTGTGACCCAGCCAGTCTTACATACTTCCGCTGACGCGCAATCCAACTTAATCAATCACCGAAACATGTTCAGAGCTTTCAGTTCATAGTGGATTAAAGAAGGAACTAGAACCACAGTAATATCAAGGTAGAAAGAAACGGCTTTAAAATGTTTACCAGTAAAACAAATAATGTGTGAATCTCTAGCAAGGGATAATACAAAAATATAGACAACAATTCGCAAGGAATACATAAATTAGGCAAGTGCTCTTGTAATTTCCATACTAGTTGAGTTGGAGCATCTAACAATATGAAATCGTGCTAAAAGCCCTACTTTGTGTGAGAAATACTTTTGCATGAAAACAAAAAAACAAATGGCAAACTCTGGCGCTAGGTACAGTGAGAGCGAAATGGGCATTATTTGGCAAATGTCAACATGTCAGCGTATGACGCAGATGTGGTAAAGGGAAAATGCTATTTTGCCATGAGCACATCTGTCAGGAATCGTAGAAAACCAACTACAACATTTAACATCATGGCTACTTTACATGTATCTACTGAGGTAAATCAGGTTCACAGATAATAGGTAAACGCTTGTGGTTACTGATGTGCAGCTAAGAATAAAATGTAAAAAACACAAGTTGCATCTGGACTGCTACGGATTAAAGTACCAGGCTTTGTAAGGATGGGAGATTATTTATCCTCACCTATTTGGCCGTTGTAACATTCGAATTGCTGCTCTTATATCGGCTCATCTTACTATTTCAGGGTTCTGTTGTATATGCGGTCATAAGCTGTACTGGAGAGCTTTATATGGCCGCTGTAATCCGGAGTAACACGGCGTTCAGTAAGGCCTGTGTGCCTCAGCTACCATCACATCTGTGATTATTCTGAATGATGCTATTTTTCTTACGCCAGTGAGAACGTACGAATAATAGTATAAACGAGGAATAGCAGGTTTGTGGAAAAATCAGGAGCTGGGTGTCCACCCATCACTGGGCTTGAGGTTCAACAGACGCATGATGGGGAATGGGGCCAGGTAAATTAGAATTTCGTGGGGATAGCAAGGTAAGGTGAAGTAGTGGTCAAAGGTTCTGGAGGTCCGGCTATCCGTGATGACAGGAGCCACTGAGGAGCGGTTAACTTTCAGTCCAGGTTAAGTGAATATGAAGTAGTGAAAAGCAAGATGATAATAATGTCCGAAAAGGGATATTGTTTCTCAATCCACCATCTGCCGGTGTTGTCTTTAACGGATGTCAAGCGTTCAAGTTTTATAAAAGTTAAGAGATGGTGAGGGCCAAGATGAGGTGAAGTGGAGTGACAAAAGTCTGGATCACATTTGTGGTTTCATCAGAGGAATAGTTGACTAACTAGCTGGAATTTTCTGATATGGAGTACCGAGGTGAAGTTTTAAAATGACAAGGCAATAAAGAAAATCAGATGATCAGTAACCAGTACAGGACGGTTAAGAGTTCCAGTGAAACTAAGTGAACGGAAACCTTTTAACGTTAGACAACCCGGTAGACCAAGTGCGGTAAATACAACATTGAAGATAGAAAAAGATGAAAAAACCATAGAAAAGCGAGGTAAATAGGTTAATGTACCCGGTGAGGAATAAGTCGAGCACAATTTATTTAAAATACGGTCGATGTGAGGCTCGACATCCAAAGTTCTATAGGGCCCTTCTCATAACTATAATCTATTAATATATATTCGCTTAGTATATCTATAACCTCCACGATGAGGTGGTTGAACATTTGAGCACGAAATACATGTTTTGGGTTGTTGCACCGAATGAGTTCGGGCAGCTTGTTTCATAACGTTGTATATCTTGTGGGACGCAGAAGCCAGATGATGTATTCCTTTTTGGATATTGATGGAAAGTACCAAGCTACGCCGTATCTGGTTCCCCAAGACTAGTATGAGCTAAATCATACAGCAAGATTAAGTTGATCTTAATTCTTTTCAACCATAATGATTCCAGCCTCAGCAGTTTACACTTTGTTGACAAGTCAAGAAGCCTCACCCTAGTAACGTTTTAGTGAAGGATCATTGCACTTTTTACATGCTTGATTTTGTTGGACATTTTGAACTTTGTGAATACCAATGGACAATATTCTATAATTGGAGGAGCATATGCTTTATACATAGGTACCCTAGAGTCCTTCAAGCATAAATCTCGCTTTAGCAGTGACATAGTGTACCTGTTCAGAGAAATTAAGAAGAGCTTGAGTAACGAACTCCGAGGTCACAAATTATTGTGCAGCAGGTAACTGGCTTGTCAGCTAACGTCAGTATGGCATTAATATTGTTGCATCGGAAGAAGAGAACTTTACATTTTCCACTCTTGGCACCACCGCTGAAGGGCCTAGAACTCCATCTGTATTGTTTGAGCGCAGTCTGGATCATTTTTACTGTCAAACGCGAACACAACTTTAAAATCATCCGCGAAAAGAAAGCGTCTTCCATGTCTAAAGATCCGGCAAATGTCATTTTTGTAAAGTATAAATCGCAGTGGGCCTAGAACGCTTCCATGTACGACGTCGTTGGTTACTGTAATAGGTGCAAATCCACAGTTTCCAATTCTGACATTGGATGCATGTAGACAAGAATGATGA